GAGGATGATGATGATGATGATGATAATGATTTTCTATTCTTTGGAACATTTGATGACGAACATTCATTTAAATCTATACCGATCGAAGAAACAAGTCCTGTTCGAACAACAAAACGTCAACGTGCTACGTCTTCGCTGTGTGTTGTCGACGATCATTGGGAAATATTTCCAGAAACAAATGACACAAAACGTAATTTATCAACAAATCATTTAATTGATTATGAAAAAAAAGATGATGTTAATATTGGAATGGGAAATTTTCGAGTTAAACATCGTCACCGTGAAAAACATACAACGGCACTTAATCGATGGAAAAGTGCTTTACACAAGATGCATTTGTTGAAAGATCCATGGGAAGATTTTCGAATCGATCGATATCCAGAAGAAACAGTTACTGTTCATGACTTTGATCCTATCAAAGGATTATGGAACACTCATGAAATTAAAATTAAAATTGAAGCAAAACCATTCACGCGAGGTGCAATGCGTGAATGTTTTCGAATGTAAGTACCGTTATTTAAAGATTCATTCTTGTGCTATCTCTAATACATAAAAAATATTTTTCTTATTTTCAAGGAAAAAATTGCCTTTTCATTCGAATGCTCATGATTGGGATTATGCATCAAATTATGTTGGTAAGTCAACGGTGATATAATCGAACAGATTATAATTTTCTCTTTTAGGTAAACGATATATCGAATCTGTTTTACCCGAACGTTATTTTGATGATGTAATGTTACAAATGGCAGCAAAATTGTGGGGACAACATTATAATCGACATAATCCACCTAAAAAGGTTTTTATTTTTGTATTGTTATATTGTATGATGATTTTAATAATGTTATTTAACTTCTCAGGTTGATATCGTTCAAATGTCAGTTTTGGAATTTAAACAACGACCTGGTCAACCGTATTATCATTTAGAACGCTTTATTGAAGGCAGCTACATAAAATATAACTCAAATTCTGGCTTTGTTTTTGACGAAGATCAATCAAGACATACACCTCAGGTGAAAATTTTCTCTTTTATTCCTCTTTTTGAACTTAATCTTTTTATTTGAGACTTTTACTATTAGAAACATGCGAATTAAACAACATTTTGAACACTACAACGAAAAAGGAGGGGGCCGCATAAGGTCGGGAATCGGCCCACTCTCTTTTTTGACTAAAA